TTGGGGTTATGGACCCACTGCTTTGTGTCAAAGTTGCTTTGTAGGTAGGCAGGGCTGAGAATGACCTCACAGGACATCTCTCTTACCGCCACACCTTGGGGTTATGAGTCCTGGTCCTTTCCCGCTGCCCGACTTCTCATATGACCACTAACATAAGGATGATGGTCATCATGAGCCTGGGGCTGTGCTGATTGTCTCATGGGACCACCCCATCTAATCTCCTCAACACAGTCTGTGGGTGATTTCATGAAGGGCTGAAAGCATCCTCCTTAAAAGGCCTCCCTGGCATGAACCCATGAGAGGGGTGGTTACGAATGTCAGCAGAAACATCAGAGACGCTCAGTAGCTTGGAGCTGGGCAGAGGGAGAGTCCATCCCCTTGGGGAGATTTCTTTCCAGGACATGAGCCACAGAACGAAATGCCCCTGCTCTGGGATTTTGCACTCACACTTTTGAAATTAGAAGTTTCATTCTTTTGTATCAAGATCTTGAAATGTGGTAATAAAGTTACACCAATGAATAGCCCTGCACAACATGGGGAATTTAATAAAGGTGAAAGCAATAGAAGGTGGGGAGTCCAGCCGCTCTGCAGTGATACAACTAAGACTCGTAAGAAATAAAAGTAATTATCACCTGCCCAACCTGGCCGGCCCAGTCTGCGTGCGTGGAAGAAAAGCATTTCAGAACTTTATTTCCTATATTGAATGTCGATAATTGGATGTATTTATAAGTCTCTCTGGAAGAAAACAGCTTATGATTTCAAGATGAGAAAACAGTCTTCCAAACAGTGAAAAACAATATATTCCCCATTTTCACACACACACAAAGAGCTTGTTTCCGTTGATGTTTTTAAGGTGCTGTTGGAATGATTTGCCTTTCCGAAGTCACCATTCCATTTCTCATCTTGAATTGCCTCATAGACTCTGGCTAAGCACTCAGCAGGGACCACTTCATCTGAGGCGGTGACGGGGCTTCCTAGGGAGGGCCCCTCAGCTGCTGCCCGCCTCTCTCCTTCAGGAAGATGGAGACCCAGGCCGGCTGGGCAAAGGAAGGGCCGGAGGAGTATGATGTGATGTGGGGCGCCTCTGGGGGGCTGACGGTTGGTGGTTACAGCTGTGGTGTGGTCCTGGAGGAAGGAGCAGGCCACGCTGGCCTTGGGACTGGGAGAGCAATGACTGTCACTGCTGACATTGCAAAGGCTGAAGGCTGGGGTCTGCCAGAGCCACGATGGAGAGGCAGCCTCCTGGGCACTTCATGTCCATCGCGTTCCTTCCTTTCCTACTTGGAAAGAGGTCGGGCTGGACCATGCCACCCCTTCCCCCATCTGACACTCCTCACACCCACACCCCTCTATCTTTCTGTTCAGTCTATTTGGTGCTGGTTTTCTGAGCCCAGTCTTCTATTTTCAGCAAAAGCAAACAAGCGATCACAAAACCCCCAAATGACACCCCCTGTGGGGTTTTACCACCTGAGGCTGGGGCCCCAATGAGGTTGGTGCAGAGTCTCTTGCTGGCTCTTTTCAGAAGTCTCTTTGACCCTCTTAACCTCCCACCCGAGGCATAGGCCTGGACCCCACTGCTTTCCTGCTCAGAATCCCCCAGCAACTCCCTACTCATCACAGGAGGAAATAGGAACATGCACCCCTGCTCTGAGCCCTCCCAGATGAGAACTCCTTGGGAATAACACTGAGGGCTCCTCTTCTGCCCCCAGATCTGCAGGGCAGGGTCTGGGCTCTGGCCCTTTACAGTGTGGGTTGTCACAGAGTGGCTCCATGGGCGACAGCTCAGTAGCCAGGGGCAGAGCCAGCATCGAGGCCACCTCCAGGGTGGTCCCACGGAGCCTTCCAGAAGACCAGTATCCTTGATGTGCAACAGAAAATGGATGAGGCCCATGTCATGGCTCTTCCAGGGACACCCCTGCAAGACCCCAAGGGTGGCTCATGACTCAGAGTCTGGCTGGTTGCCACCTCTGGGCTTGCCATCTCCAGGCAGCCAGCTGTCAGCAGTGTCCAGGGAGCTGCAAGAACATGTGTCTAGATTGAGGGGGGTAGGCAGAGCAGGGAAACCTGGCAGGATACAGTATCATAGGAACAAATGGAGCCATGGGAGCTCCAAGGAGGCCTTTTGGGGACCAAGTTTCTCCTGGGTCTCTGGCTAGGACAGGGCCCGTCTGCAGAGTTATGATGCTCAGGCTGCTGGATCAGCTGAGCACAAACACCTTCCAGCCACTTGTAGGTCACTAGAGGGGGACTGTTTCAGCCAAGGGCCGGTGACCTCGGAGGTGACACCACATGAGGCCTGAGTGTGCTGCCTGGTGCTCTCTCTTGCTGATTTACACACTCTCGCTCCAACTCTCTAAAATCAATCTTTCCCCAAGTGCCTTCTGGCTCCCAGCAGTGTCCAGGGTCTGCCCTGCATGAGTAACTACGCAGTCTTCTCCCACTCTCAGGGCTACTTCTCCTGGAGCCCCTGCCAGAGCTCTAGTGGGGAGGGGACAGGAGTGAGGGGCACAACCCTGCCAGAGCCTCTGATAGGGAGAGAGGTGAGGGGTGGGGGCAACCCTCTATGCCAGGCTCATAGAAGGCTGGCAGGATAGGCCCATGGTCCAGACAGGCCTGGATGAGTAGGAATCATGGACTGAGCCCCCTATTACTGCTCACAAACAAGGGCGCTTCACTCAGTCGGTAGGTGCCCTCCCCCTATTATTGTGTGGATGTTTAGGATAATTCTTTTTCACATTAAACACTCAGAGTTGGCAGCTAGCTTAATTTTGACATAGTTTATGTCAAAAGAAATGGGGGGGGGGAGGCTGCAATTAGATGGGGGCAGGTTTTCTTTCCATAAAGGAGTGTGAAAAATGCATTCTGCTTACTCTTGGTTATTTTTTAAAAGTGTCCCTTATTAAGGAATTGAGTCTCTTTAGCTGAAGGTGGAGAAAATGCTTAATGGGGGGTCTCAAGTTCTTGGGGACCGAGGACCAGATAGTGGGGTGTAGGGCCTTGTGTCTTTGCTCTTCTCCATGGCACTGGCAAGAGGGCTGATAGACTCTCTCTGGAGTCCTTCCTGGAGGACAGAGACCCCTGAGAGTTGCTATGTGTAGTGGGAAGGGGGAGGCAGGCTGGGGGTCCCCTCTTCCATCACCTCTCCTTGATCTTATCTGTGTCTGTCTGGATGTGCCACCTTCTTCCTCACGGTTTTGGCTTCTTTGGTTGTGCCATGGGCTAAAGATGCCCAGGTGTTTGCTTAGGAATCCCTGGAGCAGCGCCCTGAGCTGGGTACCATTAGCTCTCACCTGCCAGATGAGGAAACCAGGGATGGTGCTAGAATTTGAAGCAGCCATGCCATGTCACCCACCTTGCTTATGGTCTGACTCGATTCCTCCGTCTATTTAAGGAGCCTGCTCTTTTCCCAGCTTTGTGGGGACAAACAGCAGCCGCTCTCCATCTCATAGCCTTTGGTACCCCCTACTCTCCCAACCCAGCCATGGTGACCCATATCCTTATCTTGACAAAGGTTTCTTTCTTTTAAGATTTTATTGGGGAATTGGGGGAGGGGAACAGACAAATTGCTGTCCTTTTTGTTCTTCAATCTAGTTGTGGAGGACGTTGCATCACTGGCCTATGTTGGTATTATCATTGCGCTCTTCTCGGGTGAGACAGATTGGTCACCGGTCACTGGACGGCCGCTCACGGCGGCTCTTGGCAGCTCACGCTGGCTACTGGCCGCTCATGCCAGCTGCTGGCAACTCATGGTAGCTTTACGACAGCCCACTGCAGCCTACGCCGTCGCTGGCGACTCACAGCAGCCCAGCTCCAGGTGGAGCTGTTGTTCACCGTCTTAGCTGTGGAGGGCGCAGCGTCACTAGCCCTCATGTGGGGTCTGAACCGTTGACAAAGGTTTCTTTGTCAAGAAGAACAAAGAAATCTTTGGCACCCTAAACCAAGCCCTTCAACCAGAAGCTACTTTCAGTTTAGAGACAGCTATGGGCTGGGGTCAAGAGCCCCAGGGGCATGTGCTGGGACTCACTTCCTGTCCACACACATCTGCATACTCTCTTGTGGCCCAGGACCCCAGGGATACTCCCCAACCCCAACCCTCACCACCGCCCCCAGCCTTGGGCCCCTTTTCTTCACAGAGCCAGTGTGGGTCACTACTCAGAGGTGTGACTGACTGTGTGAGCTCAGCCTCTGTGTGAGCTCAGGCTAGTTACCAACCACCCTTGGCCTCAGTATAATGGCTTTCAGAATGGAGCCACCTCATGGGGCTATTGTGAGGATTCAATGAGGTAACACTTGCAAAGGATAAGGGCACAGTGAGTGCTCTGCACCTGATGGCAGCAGTTAGTATTACTATTATTCTAAGGTGTCTGCAGCCCAGGTTGCTCATCCCCTGCACCCAACACCAGGGCCCAGCAGAGCAGAAGGGGATGCCCTCTGATAGATTCTCCCTCCTGAAACGTGCCCTCCATGTGCCCACTTCTTCCCCAGAGATCCTCACTGGGCTCCCTGCCTCCAGGACTGTCTTCATCCTGTAGTTGAAGAAGCTTGGAAAGGTCCTACGAGACCTAACTCCTCAGCTCCATTTTCAAGGTCCTGCAGGATCTGATCCTTGCTTATCTCAAAGGCCACACCTCTCACTTCCACACCACACCCTCTCTCCTGAACACTGAACTTTTCGGTTACTCCAAGTGCCCTGGCCTTTGCTCAAGCCATTTCCCTTCTTGAGCAATCGCTGTTACCTCCGCCCCACCCTAGATTGGGTCTCCCTGGTGTCCTTTGCAGGGCTGTCTGAGACGCCAGGTTGAGGGCTGAATCAAGGTATCCACTGCCTAGGGACACGCCTTCCTATTCTGGCGAGGCCTCTGCAACCCCATCCTGGCCCTGCCCCTCGCCTGCAGCCAGAGGCCAGCGAGTGCATAGATTTATTCTTCTCCCCCTCTAGGGCTCCGCCCCTCCAGGTCCAGAAGGGCCCGGCGCTGAAAGGGGCGGTGCAGGGACTCCTGGCCCCGCCCAGACCGCGCCCCCCTCAGCGGTACCCGGCCGGGCTCAGCTGACGCCGCACTTCACGTGACGCTGGAGCCGGGCAAACATGGCGGCGGCCACCCGGTGAGTGTTGCTCCAGTCCCTGACCCTCGCCCGGCGGCGCGGAAAGGGGTCCTGGGCCTCCTGTGTGGACAGTGGGTGACAGCCCCCTCCGGGTGCGCTGGGTGACTGTGGGCAGCGCGCTTCTTCATTCAGGGCGGTTAGCTGCGCGCTGCGAGTCAGGGTCTGCGCTGTGCCTGCAGCTCACCTCCCCGCTACCCACTGAGCCGCCCACCCTCTTGGTGCGGCGTCCCCACTGTGTGGCCGAGGTGGGGGCTCAGATCGACACGCGCGTTCACGGCCACGACCCTCAGATGGGAAGGCGGCGTTGCCAGGGCGCCAGGGCTCCGGGCGCTCCAGGGAGGAGGCAGTGGTTTGAGATGGGCTTGGAATCACCCCCTCCAGCGGGGCACTTGCCCACTTCCTTCTGGGTCCAAATGTCACCTCCTCAGAGAAGCCTTCCCTAAGCACCTGTCGTACTTTTTGTAGACCCTCTCACTACCTGGTAAACTATATAGTACATTTATTTTTACTTGTTTCTTGTCTTTGCATTCGGAATGTAGGGTCAGGGCCTTCCACTGGTTCACTGCTGGGTCTCACTAGTACAGTGCTTTGCACACAGTAGGTGCTTCATAATTCCGCTGCATGGAAGAATGGGCGAGTGGTCCTAGTGGGAGAAAGTATGGACAGATGGGCTCACTGAAGCGTTGGAGAGTGTCCCAGATGAGGGAACAGTTGAGCAAAGGTTGAGAGATAAATGTTGAGAGTTCAGAGTGTTCTGGGGACAGGGTATAGGGAAGTGCCTTCCTGTGCTGGAGGGTGTGGTGCCCCAGATGGCTTCTCCAGACTTTGCCTGCGAGGCTGGAGCCCTCCAAGGGTTTTAATCTTTGTTCAGATATGCTTTTTAGATAATTGCCCCCTTGGGCTGTCTGTGAAGTCTGGGGGAGGTCCAATACTGGGAACAGTGTGTGGGCCTGGTGGAGCTGGGGCTAGGAGGGGTAGTGGTAGAGAGGGAGCACTGCCCCAGATGCTAGGCTGGGAACTGAGATCAGAATGGGGGAACTGGTGGCCTGATTGCACCTTTCTTTTTGGGAGGTGGGGAGAATGGCAACAGAAAGTTGCCTCCTCCGTTGGCCCTCCAGGTTGGGAAAGCTTAGGGCATACAAATCAAACATTTAGTGGGCATCTGCTGTATTCCAGGAACAGTACTGGGCCTACCCTTAGGTGTTCATGGGCCACTGGGGCAGATGGACACATGGGACTGTCATTTATCTGCCTGCCTCTGGTCTTGGTGTGTGCCATGGAAGGGCATGGGTTCTGAGCTCAAGGGAGAGTGTGGGTAGACTTCACTCGCTGGAGGACATGTTTGTGCTAGTCCTTGAGCACCCCTCACACAGAGAACTACGTGCAAAGTCCCAGATGAGTGTCAAGGAACTCAAGGTCAGATCCTTGAATCTAGCCTGTGACCCTGTCTTAAAGAGCAGAGTAAGTAGTAGGTGTAGGCCAGTGCTTGGATGTGGGTCTATTACCCTTATATCTGAGCTGGCCAGTTGGTTACACAGAGTTCAGAGGCTGCATTTGGGTTCAGGGCTCCATGCTGGTCTGAGCTTTGTTGCTCTCCTGAAGATACAGAGAGGCAAGCTGGTGACTGAATGAGCCAGGAACTGGCTGAATCCTGGAACGAGGGTTCTTACATGGGGTGGTGTGGGTAAGGATGGTAAAACAGAGCGACAGAGGTCTTCTAGAGATGTGTTTTTGGAAGGGAGACCTGACAGGTGCAGGGAGATTCCAGAGCCTGATAACGCCTCCTTGGCAAGTGCCATCCCAGGCTGGTATCAGGCTGCCCTGCTGGACACTTTGAGCCTGAGGTCCAGTCCCAGCATCTCCCTTAAGGGGAGGAAGTTTTGAGTGTGCTTCTAGCAAAGCTCAGTACCCAGTGCACACACAAGACAGATCAGCGTGTCAGGCACAATGGGACACCGTGCCATAGTCATGGCCACAGGAGTTCTACTAGAGCTTGGGCCGTACTGGTCCCTTCAGGAGGCTGTGAGAGTCCCAGGTGACTGGGGTGTGCTCCATGTGATTTCAGGAGCAGTGCAAGTCCTAAGCTAGTATCTCAGATTCAACTAGAAGCTCGAATTGCTCCTCTGGGGAATGTATCAGTGTTTATCCTGCTCTGTCCTGCCAGCCTGGGCAGGGACTTCAAGTCTGAAACAGGGGGTCCCACAGCTCCCAGAGGGTCTGCCTGAGGTCACCCCCCTCCCACCCTCATCCCACATCACTTGGTGGGAGGGAGCCCTGCCTTCTCCTTTAGCCGTGCCTTGAGCTTTCCATGGACAGAGCTGAGCCTTGTCTGCTGCAGCCACACCTGCCTGCACTGCTCCCCCACATGGCTTTTTCCTTTCTCCCCTTCCCTTTGCCGACTCACCTACTGGCCCCGGAGTGCCCTCGTCCTCCGACATAATTGTTCACATACTTGCAGGCCCAGCTCAGATGGTTCGTGTCCTAGAAGCCTTTCCCGAACCCCTCCCTCCTGATCTTGAGTAAAGGCTTCCTGCTCAGAGCTCCAGAGAGTCCCAGTTTTTCCCGCTGGTAGGATGTTTTGCCACATCTGCGCGCCTGCCCATCGTGGTTGGGTGAGGGCTTACTGCCCTTCATGCCTCTGCTGGAATCCTTGGAGCTGAGGGACCGGTCCAGTTTGTATCTCCAGATTGGTGCCCTGTGGCCGCCCTGTGATTGGTGCTGAGTGACATGATGCCAAATTAGGACAAAGGAGGATTTACTCTAAATTAGTCCAACATGCCATCCTGTTTTCTGGGAGGCTCTCAGTGATTGAGGAAAGGAGTTGTGGGTGGGAGGGGGACAGAATTCTGAGTAGGATGAAGAAATATCTTTAATTCTTTAACTGCATGTCTCCCAGGGAGCAGCTACCCAGAGAGCCTTTGCCCCGTGAGAAGAAGCAGGTGAGCAGCCCTGGGTGTGTACCTGTTGGGTCGTAGGTCACTCTGAAGTCAGCATTCTTCTGTAGAGAATGTACCTGGAGGAGTCAGATTTTGGATGCAAGCCCATCTCTGATATGAACCTTGTGCTCCTGGAGAAGAGGCATCGGGCCAACCCTAGGGGTGGGCCTGTGGCAGGCAGGCTGGCCACTGAGTGCCCCTTTGCCCTCCCTGGCCCTTCCTAGGCCTGGTCCTGACTCCACATAGCCCTCTCTTGGTCCTTGTGTGGCTTAGATCCCCTGACACTCCTCTGGAGGGAGGAAGGCAGGGTGGGAGATGTTTACCAGCTGCCAAGAGGTTCTTCCAGCCACGGTGAGTGAGCTGGCCTTGCTGACAGCCAGTGGGTATGGTGTCAGGCCTGAGCTGGAGGCCGAGGGTGAGGAAGCAGCCTGGTCCCTGGCAGCACGGCCCCATCCAGAAGTGGCATTGCGTTCTAGCGCAGGAACCTTGTCCTTGTCTGTGCCATGGACTGCTTGGGCATCAGTGAGACCTTTGCACCCTTCTCAGCATGACGTTTTAAATGCATGAGAGAAGATAGAGAGGATTACAAGGAAAACCAGTTATACTGAAGTCCAGTTATCAAAACGTTGAAAAATGAATATGTGATACAGTAATACATGCTTCTTTATTAACACAGTCAGTAATAAAAAAGCAGCAGGTCTAATAACCACCTTAATTTTGAAGAGTGAGAGCAGAAGTGGTATTTTGAGATACTGTGACATCAATAATAGCGTGACAGAAAAATACCTGTGATTTCTGTTGGTGACAGATTCACACTGCGGATCCTGTTGTGGTTAGTTGCTTACATTAATAATGGAAGAAAATGTAAATTTGAATGAGAGGTTAGAGAAAATAAACGTATAATTTTTTTTCCATCCAAGTAGATGCAGTCCCTAAATTCTATGCGTGAATCCCCAGGGGTTCATGTTCCTTGGGTGAGAACCCCACAGATTACCACTGAGGGCAAAGGAGGGGGTGACTTAGTACCAATTTGGGGGGATGGAAGCAATTTGGGAGCACTGAAATGGGTTGCAGGGGCAGCAGGATCACACCTTTCCTGGGGGCAGCTCCCCATTCCTGGTCACTGGCCGCTTCCTGGGCCCTAGTGGTTGGCAGGGGGCGGGCTGGCCTGTGGGGGCCAGGGCTGGTTCTGTGGGGCTCTGTGATGCCCTGGCGTCGTTGTCCTGCAGCCCCTGCTGCCTTCCCCGGCATTGCCTGTGCCCTCAGCTGCCTGCAGGAAAGCAGGCCTTATTACGCTGGGGCTTGGGTATGACCTGATTTTTGCCTTTTAAATTCCGGGTGCCAATTAACAAAAGAGCCAGCAGAAACCAGCTGGATATGTTTTACTAGTGCTGCTTTTGCTAAACTCACAGGGAGAAGTCACCTGCATTGGCTCCGGGCCTAACATTCTCTCTGGGGGTTTGGTTTATGCCACGAGAAATCAAAAGGCATGTCTTTATAAACCCTGATTCTGGGGGCGCCCGGCAGTAAGGAATCACTGCAGCACAGCAGCCTGCTTGGTGGCTCAGGCGGGGCTACCCTTCTCTGTTCTGGTTGAGCCCCACAGAGGATTAGGCAGTGTTGTCAATTTTCCTCTCAGTAGCAGCAGACACTCACAGAGAGGGTACCTTAGCAAGTTTCTTGGCTGAGGGAATGGAAACATATCATATCTTAGGGGCTTTTCAAAATGCAACATTATCCACCACCCTTACCACCCCTACCCCTGGAATAACATTCTAATATACATATTTTTTGAAGCATCCTACAGATTTTAATTTCTAATAGAGTAAATGTCAATCTTTAATATCTCACATAAACAAAAAGCTCTTTGGGGTCCCTCCACCGCCTTTTTTTCCGCCCAGAGTAAAGGGGTCTTGAGACCAAAAACTGAGAAAAACTTTGATTTATCCTCAGCTGTGATTGGTCAGTTTCTTGCTCTGACCTCATAAAGCACCATTGTGATGAAATGACCAAAAGCTTTAAATAAGGCGCTGGCTGGGCTGAGGTGTCTGTCCTTTATAGCCC